AAGGACTAGGAAAACCTTATCCATGACTGACAGACATTTTCTTATGGGTAGATTCAAGAAAAGATAGAATTAATACCTTCAGTTGTATGCCCACTGCTACCTCAACAGTCTTCAAATGATAAATCCCATCTTATTATCACTTGGATGCTGTAATTAAATTAAATATGTCATATAACAAAAGCAAAAAAATAATGAGTCCAGCAAAGTGATTGGGGGAGCAGGAACTTCAAAGCAATATAAGGAAAATAAGAAAGAATGGTAGGATAGTAGCCAGAATGCACTATGTGTGTGTGTGTGTGTGTGTGTGTGTGTGTGTACATACACACACACATATATATATATATATACATATATATTAGAGAAGGCATTAGCTTATATATATACACACATATAGATATAATAGAGAAGGCATTAGCTTAATAAAAATAACAACATCAATCAAAAAATTGATTTGAACTTACTACATAAAATATTAAAAACAAAATGATAGTTCTTGCAACACTAATGGTACAAAGCTTTGGAAATGTTAATAAAATTGAACAGTACAGAAGACTGGGTGTATAATTCTTATTCTCAGGGGTCAGCAAATCATGCATGTTGAATTCCACACATCTATACACACTATCATTAAGGCTTGCTCTACTGGGATTAGAATTATAGTAAAATAGAGGCTCTAATGGTGACCCTTGGATATTGAGTACCTGAGAAACCTACACTACACTGTCAGAGCCAGCTTGTGATCACCTCCTTTATGTACTTTGTATGTTAGAAAGAAATACCAGAACTTTCAACCGAAGAAGATCAAGCTTTTCCAGGAGCCCACTGAGTACTGAAATACTGATTTAGTACAAGATCCAGGTGAATATCTGAGTATCAATATCAGTAAGGAAGTAGGTACTTCATAATACCTTACTAAGTACTTTGAACATGAGAGCATGTGTTTAGAATTCAATCCTGAAAAGAGATGAAGGGACGCAAAAAATATTATGAAAAATAAGAGTTTTACTTCTATTGTCATTGTTGGATTTCTCCTTTAACATTTCTGCACTTATTTATATCAACATTCACATATCTCTCATACTACTTATATAATACTATCTACAAGAACATTGTCTATTCAGTTATGAGCAGACAACTCTAATGAGAGTCTGATAAAATTTAGATATTTTCTTAAGTTGTGGTGATAGATGACAGGGAGTTGGAGAAAGTTAGTTTATTAGGTTTCTCTCAAAAAGTAGCAAAATTTTCATGGCTTAAAATAATAAAGTTGCTCTACTGTGGATCTTGAATTACTCATAAATTAAAATGACTTAGATTCCTTTCACCTCCTGAAACTTGGAGATGCCTATCCTTCCTTGTTCTTTAATGTAGCTATTATTCCATCTGTGTCTATGTGTGTGTGTGTGTGTGAATACATGCATGTGTTCATATATTCCCCATCTTTTCTTTCAGCAAGGTACAAGTCCTATTGGACCAGAATACCATAACTTGGCTCATTCTGATTTATTTTTTCAAGAAAACATATCCAAAATTAATATTAAAAATTAGGCAATAAATATAAATTTGGGGTATGTTCAACCCTTGACTGAGAGTCCATATTTAATTTTCATTTCTTATCTTAGATGCATCATAAGACAGAGAGGTATTTCTGTCAATTAGCAGGTTTGTTAACTAGGAAGGAAGACATATATATATATATATATATATATATATATATAAAGCAGCATCTTAAATCTTCCAAGTCAGTATTAACTATTGTAAACAGAAAGATCCCAGAGAGTGTGATTAACAACAGCATTTTGGTAATATGTTCTGATCCTAACAGGCCTAAAGGTCATGAACAGTGGATCTCTACCATTTAATAAGAACATTCAAATAACAGAAAATGTATTTTGTATGTTGATTTTAAAAAATATGGGTTCTGGGCCAAATCTCTCCCCCTTGGGAAAGACTTAACATTTTAAACAGAAACATCATGTTTCTATCTATGAGGTCACCTTCTGGTCACCAACAAAGATAAGCATTGCTGCCTTCTTTCAAGATTAATCCAAAAGCATCTATCAATTATCTGAGTATAGAAATACCATGCACAGATTTGTTTCATCAACACTAAGAAATGGTAAAGGGACTATCTAAAATTTACATTGACATGATTTCTGTAAGCATTTCCCACTATCCCTTGAGAATGTCTCATATTCTGCCACAATACTTTGTCTTCTTCACTACATTCTGTGTGTCTTGCTCAAATTCATTAGTTGGAGATCAGAAAGACCAGGTAGGAAAGCTAGGCCAGTACTTAACCCTGGTAACTGAAACACATGATAATAACCTGCTTCTACACACAGTAAGCCAGTGAAGACATTGTGTCATATTTCTTATCTTTGTAAAATAATTAAATAATAAGTATAAAATTTACTCCTTTACTATTTTCCTTTATTCATCTTAACATTGCAAATTAATTTTATCTTGAATTCAACAAGATATTTTATACATTTATCTACATTAAACACACATTTATAAATAAAAGGAAGAAGGGATATAACATGTCACTTAAGGAAAGTAATCTGTGTATTGTGATTGCATATTGGAATGAGGTATTGATTAAAACTTATAAAGGGGTAGTGCACATATTATTACTAATTTTAGAAACATCAATGAAAAAGACAATATAAATAAAATGCATATGGTCAACTTTTATAAGCACACATGTTTTAATTTCAAGATAATTTGCATAAACAATTTAAAATAATACTGTTAAATGGAATACTATGATAGAATGGTACACATTATGGTAGTGTGGTTATTTTCCCTAGAAAAGCAGGAATTTCTGTGTTATGTGAGTGGTGGAACTTTAATTATTATTTGCTGCATTTGAAAAGTAAATGAAGTAATAACTGGGAAGGGTGTGTTTCATTGTTTATTCTCATGTAGCCAATCTTGCATCATTTATTTGTTTCCTATTACATCAGCATAATTCACAGTAAAATACCTTAATGTTTACATATTCAAAAAATGCTTAAAATTTTTTCATGATGTAGTATTTTTCACACGATATGCTTCTTAGGTTAACACATAAAATTTACTTATAGTACAAAACTAATTAAGTATTATTTAAATCAGATTATCACTGTATAAGGTATCATATGTCTAGGATGAATAAATACTGTAACTATTGGTCATGCTTCTTTCATTACTTCTCGACATAACCAGTATTAGTACAGTTGAAATGAGGCAAACAAGATTAGCATTCATCATGTTAGAAATGTTCTCTTTTTTATTGTCTCATCTGCATTAATTTATCACTTCTTTGGGGCCAAAGGAATCAGTTATGTGCTCTTCCTCATAGCAAATGGTAAATAATCATATAAATACATATGTACACACACACTGACATATGCAATATCAGTTAATGATTTTATATGCTCAGCAGGATGTTGAGAACCTTTGTCATTTTTGTTTTTCATCACTGAAGATTTTCCATTAAGTCATTTCCAAAATTCCAGTATAAATGTATATATAAATGTTGAATAAATCTAAGACATACAATATGATGGTTGAACAAGAAAACGTTATGAACTGAATATTATCTCAAGAGTAATATACAGGTTTCCCATTCAGTTTTAGCTGATGAAAATTTATGGCATTAATATAAGTCCTTAAATCAATTCATGATGTACATCATTAACATAATTTATAACATTTATGTCTTATAAATGCAAAATGCATGAAATGATTATTATAGCAAATGATTATCGCTACCATGCCTACTTTCCTATTCATTGTGAGAAAGAAATCATTGAATTATAGACATTCTTCTCTTATATCAAACTGTCTACATCTGTATGATCTGTACACCTTTTTTTGCAAGAAGTTACAAATATTTTAACAAGAACTTGGTATATCATTTTTAGATTATTTTCATATTTTTCCATTGTAACCCTATTATATCTAATGATACACTCAGCTTTTCATTAATGCATGCAGATGCATTAAGACAAATGAACATCATCAACCACTGTGGTTCCTAAACTTCCCTTAAAATTAATTGCTAAATAATTTAGCCTTAGATTTCAATGATGACACATATGAACTTGGAGATTATAGGCAATATTTACTACTCTTAGCTCAAACACACCTGAAACAATCCTTTATATTTAACTATATTAATAAGAATAATTTGAGATACCTGAAAATGAAGGAAAGTTTAATACTAAGTTTGAAGATTACTATTAAAATGAGAAAATATTGTGATATATCTGAATAATTTAGGGAGGAAAATTATTTACTGTCTGAAAATATAAGTGGGGAATGTTCAGAGACTCAACTTACAACACAGAAGACCAGAGATTGGGTTTTTCCTTTGCACATTTGTGGTGCCATCACCTCATAAATGCATCTGAAATGTGAGGCAATTCAACTGTAATTCAATAAGCACAGGAGATGGTTCTGCAGTCAAAATGTCTGGCCATTGCTTTTAATTCTGAGTTTGATACATTCACTGTCACCTGTCATTTGTCTTGAAGGCTTGGGTGGTTTTGAAAGAAAGAATTCCTGCTTTAATATTCAATGTAATCTTGTCATTTGTTGCATTATTTGCAAGTATCTTGTTGTGCAATAGGCAGAGTAGGTATTAGTAGTTAAATATATAAGAAAATGGGGAAAGATTTTAGAGAAAAACCATAAGTATCTTTATAGTTCATCTTATAGCTCAAAAAGGTTTTGTTTTCTATATACTAGCTCTAAAACTTTAGAGGGAGAAAATTGAATAAGAGCATTTTTTAATTTTCATGTGCTTGTATCAATGTGCATGAGCCACTTGTGAGTGTGTACCTTATGTAAGGCAGAAGAGTTCATCAGTTAACAGAGCTGGAGACACAGGGAATTGTGAGCTTTCAAAAAAAAATGGTACTGGGAAACTAACTCTAGTCCTATGTAAGGGAAAGAAGTACTTTTAATCTAGGAGTCATCTCTCAAGGCTTCAGTGGGAGAAATTATTTAAAGATACATTACTTTTCATGAACTTGGAGCTCATTAATAGTGAGTGAAATATTAAAATTATGTTTATATCTGTCTCATACTAATGTTATGTTGATATTCACTTCAAAAAGTTAATCTCATATTTTCATTGCACATTTTTGTCAATATTCAGCATATATATGGAACCTGAAAATCAAACATATATTTCAGAATTTTTTCTCATGGGACTAACATATGTCCCTGAACTGCAGCCCCTCATCTTCAACGTGTTCCTGCTCATGTACCTCATCACCATCATGGGAAACCTACTCATTATCCTGGCTGTAAGCATAGACTCCCACCTGCACACTCCCATGTACTTCTTCCTGTGTAATCTATCTTTCACTGATATCTGTGCAAGCACAACGACAGTCCCAAAGTTGCTGTTGAACATCCAAGCACATGACCAGAGCATCACTTATGTGGGTTGCCTGTCCCAGGTGTGCTTTATATTGATATTTTGTGTTTTAGAAAGTTGTCTCCTCACTGTAATGGCTTATGACCGCTATGTGGCCATTTGTCAACCTCTGAGATACACAATTATTATGAACCCTTTATCATGCATCTTGCTAGTCATACTTTCCCTGCTCATCAGCACTATAAATGCACTGATCCACACCCTTCTGGTTTTGCCACTGTCATTTTGCACAGAACAAGATATCCCCAACTTCTTCTGTGAACTTGGTCAGGTCACCAAGCTTGCCTGCTCTGATACATTTATCAATATAATCATAATTTATACTGCAACTATTGTATTTTCAGTTATCCCCCTCTCTGGAATTATTTTCTCTTATTTTCAAATTGTGTCCTCTATTCTGAAGATACCGTCAGTTGGTGGAAGACATAAAGCTTTTTCCACCTGTGGGTCTCATCTTTCAGTGGTATCTTTATTCTATGGGACTGGTTTAGGTGTGTACATGAGTTCTTCCGTTTCTAACTCTTCCAGCAGCAATGTAATAGCATCCATGATGTACAGCGTGGTCCCTCAAATGCTGAATCCTTTCATCTACAGTTTGAGAAGCAAAGAAATCAAGGGAGCCTTGAGGAAGTTCATCACTAGATTCATTTAATTTCTATAATTTTGTGTGCTAATACACTGAAGCAGAAAGTGTTGCAATGGTTCCAGTTAAATGAAGATGTATAGACTTGTCTTAAAGGGAAAATATGTGTCATTTGGATGTGAGAGAAAAGGTTTAAAATTTTGTAATAACACAAATAAAATCTAGAGTCAATGTGATTTCAGGCCAGATTAATTGAGACCCATAATAAGACCTACTTTGGTTCAGATTAACAAGATACTATGATCCATTAAGTAATTACTAGGTCCTCATAATGTATGCCTTTGTGAGGGATGCTAGCTTCCTGTCTACTTGGTTTAATTACTTTAAAACCCCAAATCCAAATAATTACTTTATACTGGTGTCTTAAAACATTATGCAATTTTCTATTTCCATTATAACTATGCCAGTGGTTCTCAAAGAAAAGGCCTCCATTCTAAAATAATGAGGAAAAATATTTATTACATGTACCTCTGAAATTTTTAATCCATAATTTCAGACATAGTTATCATTAATGTATGAGATAGCCATTAACATTTTATGTTTTGCTCAGTTCCTTAATAGTTTTAGAATTTGAGGATATCCCATACTTATAGGATGTCAGAGGCAGCACTCTGAGCACCCTCTTCTTCTATAGCTCTTTCATCAAAAACATAGTGTCCCTAATACTCAGCAAACTAACAACAGTTAAAAGTTTGAGGAAACTCTAAAAGTGACAACATTCAAAAAACTTTTCCCAAATGTTATAGTTGTGGGAAAGTACCTGGGGAAAGAATTATCTCTTGATGTATTTAAGATGATGGACAGAGAGATTCTAGGATGTGGATTGTTAGCAACACCCTAATAGTCTTTATGGTTTTTAAGCTATATTTAATTCACTCATGTTCTTGAATAAATTTTCGATTCAGCAAGCTACACGTCTATGAAATTATTTTTATGTCTGCTCTTAGTAAACTACTGGGGGGAATAGAAGCATTTTCCCATTTACCCATCAAAGTCCTATAGCATTTGCCCTAAGTCCATTATTGCAATTTTTTATGAAGGCAGACACACACAAGCACACACGGACAAAAAAAAAAAATCCTGCTATTATTTGAGTTCTAGACATCGATTGACAAGTACTTATCCTAATCACTTGGGAATTATCTTCTACAATGTTATTATTGTCAACATCACTCAAAACATTAATATTTGCTCGTAGCAAAGAATTTTTCTCAGATTATATGTGTGGATATAAATACACTTAACATTATTTGCAGTTATAGAGAGGTTAAAGGAATTTGATTGATCTCTTTGGATTAGTGTGATCAGTTTTTCTTATTTTTCTTATCTCTCTTCAGAAGTAACATCAGAGACATTTTTACAGTTGGTATCCATCCTTAATGTATACCTGTACAATTCTTCCCAACAGTTTACTTCTTTAACTCACACAAAGCATAGTTAACAAATTCCCAGTTTTGAGTATTATTTACTTTTTTTATTTTGATTGAGCTCTACATTTTTCTCTCTGCTTCCCTCCCTGCCTTTTCCCTCCCACCCTCAACCCTCCCCACATGCTCCAAATTTACTCAGGAGATCTTGTCTTTTTCTACTTCCCATGTAGTTTCTCTTAGTATCCTCATTGTTGTCTAAGTGTTTGAGGGTTGTGATTTGTAGGCTGTTTTTCTTTGCTTTATGTTTAAAAACCACTTATGAGTGAGTATATGTGATAATTGTCTTTCTGTATCGGTGTTGCTTCACTCAAAATAATGTTTTCTAGCTCCATCCATTTTCCTGCAAAATTCAAGATGTCATTATTTTTTGCTGCTGTGCAGTACTCCATTGTTTAAATGTACTACATTTTCTTTATCCATTCTGTTTTTTGGTGTCTTATTTATCACCTTTTAATTTTTTTAATAAAAGTTTATTAATTTATGAAAGTTTACATTTCCGCCCCTCCTCCCAACATCCTCCCACTCCCCCCATTCCCTCTCCTCCTCCCTCTCCATCCCTAAGAGCAGTCAGGGTTTCCTGCCCTGTGGGAAGTCCAAGTTCCTCCCCCCTCCCTCCAGGTTCAGGAAGGTGAGCATCCAAACAGACTGGATTCCAAAAATCCAATATATGCAGAGGAAACAAGTCCCAGTGTCATTGTCAATGGCTTGTCAGAAAGACTCCGAGCCAGCCACATTCAGAAAATCCGGCCACATTCAGAGAATCTGGTTGGATCACGTGCTTGTTCAGTCCCAGTCCAATTGGCCTTGGTGAACTCTCATTGATCAGTCCCCTTATATCAGTGGGTGAACTCACTCCTCACGGTGCTGCCTTTCTTGTTCATGTTCTCCCTCCTCCTGCTCCTCATTTAGACCTTGGGGGCTCAGTCCAGTGCTCCAATGTGGGTCTCTGTCTCAATCTCCATCCATCAACGGGTGAAGGTTCCCTCTGGTCTTGCCTTCTTTGCTCATGTTCTCTTTCCTTCTGCTTCTCGTTTGGACCAAGGGAGTTAAGTCCAGTGTTCCGCTGTGGGTCTCTGTCTCTATCTCCATCCATCGCCAGATGAAGGTTCTATGGTGATATGTAAAATATTCATCAGTATGGTTATGGGCCAAGGCCAGTTCAGACACCCTCTCCTCTGTCCAGAGAACAATCTGCGGATCTCTCCTTGGACCTGGGATCCCATTTATAATCAAGTCTCTTGTAAACCCTAAAATGACACCCTTAGTTGAGATATATACTTCCCTGATCCCATATCCATCCTTCCTCCCTCCCCCCATCCCAATTCCCCGAACTTTCCCAATTCCTCCCCTACTGCCGTCTCTCTAACCTTCTCCCCTTCCAACAATCCCCTCAACCCTGCCATGCACCCGAGGTTGCCTGGCACTCTTGTCTACTTCCAATCACCAGGAGGATAAGTACATGATTTTCTTCAGGTTCACCTTCTTATTTAGCTTCTCCAGGATCACAAATAATAGGCTCAAAGACCTTTAATTACGGTTAGAATCCAAATATGAGTGAATACATACCATGTTCCTCTTTTTGGGTCTGGGTTACCTCACTCAGTAAAGCGTTTTCTATGTCCATCCATTTGCATGCAAAATTCAAGATGTCATTGTTTTTTACCGCTGAGAGTAAAACTCTAATGTAAATATGTACCACACCTTTTTTAAACATTCTTCTATTGAGGGGCACCTAGGTTGTTTCCAGGTTCTGGCTATTACAAATAGGAACACGACAAGGCTGTCCACTCTCCCCATACCTCTTCAATATAGTGCTTGAAGTTCTATCTATAGCAATACGACAACATAAGGGGATCAAGGGGATTCGAATTGGAAAGGAAGAAGTTAAACTCTCGTTATTTACAGACGATATGATAGTATACATGAGCGACCCCAAAAACTCTACCAAAGAACTCCTACAGTTGAAAAACACCTTTAGTAATGTGGCAGGATACAAGATCAACTCCAAAAAATCAGTTGCCCTCCTTTACACAAAGGATAAAGAAGCAGGGAGAGAAATCAGAGAAACTTCACCTTTCACGATAGCCACAAATAGCATAAAATATCTTGGGATAACTCTGACCAAGGAAGTGAAAGACCTATTTGACAAGAACTTTAAGTCTTTGAAGAAAGAAATTGAGGAGGATACCAGAAAATGGAAAGATCTCCCCTGCTCTTGGATTGGGAGGATCAACATAGTAAAAATGGCAATTCTACCAGAAGCAATCTATAGATTCAATGCAATCCCCATCAAAATCCCATAAAACTTCTTCACAGACCTTGAGAGAATAATAATCAATTTTATATGGAAAAACAAAAAACCCAGGATAGCCAAAACAATCTTATATAATAAAGGACTTCTGGAGGTATAACCATCCCTGACTTCAAACTCTATTACACAGCTACAGTATTGAAAACAGCTTGGTACTGGCATAAGAACAGAGAAGTTGACCTATGGAATTGAATAGAAGACCCGGGTATTAACCCACAAACCTATGAACACTTGATTTTCGACAAGGGGGCTAAAGGTGTGCAATGGAAGAAGGAAAGCATCTTTAACAAATGGTGCTGGCATAACTGGATGTCAACCTGTAGAAGAATGAAAGTAGATCCAGATCTATCACCATGCACAAAACTCAAGTCCAAATGGATTAAAGACCTTAACAGTAATCTGACCACTTTGAACCTGATAGAAGAGAAGGTGGGAAGTATTCTACAAGACATAGGTGCAGGAGACCACTTCCTAGGTAGAACCCCAGTAGCACAGATAATAAGAGAATCAACGAATAAATGGGACCTCCTGAAACTGAGAAGCTTCTTTAAAGCAAAGGACACCGTCAGTAAGACAAAAGAGCTACCTTCGGACTTGGAGAAGATCTTCACCAACCCCTCATCAGACAAACGCCTGATCTCCAATATATGCAAAGAACTCAAGAAACTTGACACTAAAACTCTAATTTACCCAATTAAAAAATGGGATGCTGATCTGAACAGAGAATTCTCAACAGAAGAACTTCTAATGGCCAAAAGACACTTAAGGTCATGCTCAACCTCCTTAGCGATCAGGGAAATGCAAATCAAAGCAACTATGAGATACCATTTTACACCGGTCAGATTAGCAAAAGTCAAAAACACCAATGATAGCCTTTGCTGGACAGGATGTGGAGTGATGGGAACTCTCATCCTTTGTTGGTGGGAATGCAAACTTGTGCAGCCATTGTGGAAATCAGTGTGGCGGTTTCTCAGGAAACTGGGAGTCAACCTACCTCAAGACCCAGCAATTCCACTCTTGGGAATATACCCAAGAGATGCCCTATCATACCCCAAAAGCATTTGTTCAACTATGTTCTTTATCCATTCTTAGATCAGGGAGCATTGAAGTTGTTTCCAGGTTCTAGCTATGATTATTTTTTATACATCTAATACTACCCCAATTCACAATTTGGTAGATTAGCAACTAAATTTACTGTCTTTTTTCATTTGTTTGTTTGCTTGTTTTTTGAGACAGGATTTTTCTGTAACTCTGGAGTCTGTCCTGTAACTCTGGTATAGCTAGACTGTCCTCAAACTCACAGATGCACCTATCTCTGCCTCCTGATTGCTGGGATTAAAGGCATGCACCACCATCACCTGGTTTAAATTTACTTTTTAAAATTTATGTTATGGGTACTGACATCCTTAAAGACCTAGTGTTTGGAATGTGGGCAAAGATTTTGTCCATTGTAAAAGAATTTTCAAAGTGTTTCTTTCATTTCTTTACACTTTAAGTGATAATTAGTTGTATATTTGGCATAAAATTACTTTGAACTAGAGCTTAATTTTTCTCAACTGAAAAATTCATCGCCCTATCTACAAGCATATATCCCAATAATCTTACAAGAATTTTTCACTTGGAAATTACAGTTTTTTCTAAGATATTGGTATTCACTAATATGTCTGACATTTATAAAACAATTAGAGGTGCTAGGCCCCCAATTTATTTTATGAGATGTTTCTTTTGGTCCTACTCATACATGTACACAACCTAGATACCAGAATTGCCGTTTGGCATGCTTCTCAATTCTCATCAAGACATACTATGAACGTTTTTTTATTTTCTTCAGTTTACCTAAAACTTTAGTTTTTTTCTTAATTTACCTTTCTGATATTTAGGA